GTTGAAGTCTTTGGCGGCCTTGGAGTTGTAGTTTTTGCTAGAGAAGTTGGTTTCCTGCTTGTCGTTGCAGACGTGTGCCTTGAAGTGGTTGAACGGCGAGCTGTTGTGTGTTTTGCTGTTGAAGTCTTCGGCGGCCTTGGAGTTGTAGTTCTTGCTGGAGAAGTTGGTTTTCTGCTTGTCGCTGCAGACGTGTGCCTTGAAGTGGTTGAACGGCGAGCTGTTGTGTGTTTTTCTGTTGAAGTCTTTCGCGGCCTTGGAGTTGTAGTTTTTGCTGGAGAAGTTGGTTTCCTGCTTGTCGCTGCAGACGTGTGCTTTGAAGTGGTTGAACGGCGAGCTGTTGTGTGTTTTGCTGTTGAAGTCTTTGGCGGCCTTGGAGTTGTAGTTCTTGCTGGAGAAGTTGGTTTCCTGCTTGTTGCTGCAGACGTGTGCCTTGAAGTGGTTGAACGGCGAGCTGTTGTGTGTTTTGCTGTTGAAGTCTTCGACGGCCTTGGAGTTGTAGTTTTTGCTTTAGAAGTTGGTTTCCTGCTTGTCGCTGCAGACGTGGACCTTGAACGGTGTGCTGAAGTTATTTCTTCAATTTCTGGTTCACTCAATGAACAGGATAGAACCATCGAATCATGATGTTTCAGATTTTTGCAGGCATCATTACTGGTGGTCCGTATGCACTGCTTCACAGGTATTTCTGAAAAGAATAAATATATTTACATTTACATTCCATCTCTTTTGTATAGCTTCCTGGTTTGGTGCCCTTGAAACAACTAAGGCCAAACCTAATAAAATCCAGCTTTTGACCAGTATTACAAGCGGAGTGCGGACAACGCCATTGACTGCAATGTCGCGGGTCTCCGTTGGACCTGGTGTCCCGCGGAGAGGCGAGAGGAGTGGTACATCGACTGTGGAATCAGGACGGCTTGGCCGTTTTCAAATCCTGCCAGGATCACACTGCCATCTTAGTCAAATTGCAAAGGGAGGACACCGCTGGGAATTAAAAAAAAATCTTCATTCGGGAGCACCTAGAGTCAGAGAAATTTCACCGCCTTAACGTTTTTTTACTTCTTCTTAAAACGAATGCAACGAGAAGGACTTAGGAACAAATGAAAGCAAGGCCTAGGATAGAACATTTAATGAAAAAGTTATGAGAAGTTATGTTTATTTGTTTTTGGCACCAATGTACGCATTTTCAAAAATATAAAAGATATTAGCTATAGCCTCCCGGAGACAAAAGTGTCAAAGTTAGTTCTTGGATGGTACTTGGAGAAAGAGGAAGATAGTATGAAATGAAATTCTTACCCTTATAGACCAGAGAGATGCACATGTAGTGAGCATGTTTTCCTTGCTGATCAATCAAGTCATCCAAGTGGCCAAGAAAAGCTGGATTGTCCTCACCACAGGCAACAGATTCTTTATGTAGGAGACAGTCTATGCCTTTACAGGTTGGGCATTTGTATATCTTGTCATCGGCTTCTGAAGTAATCACTGGAACAAAACTTGAAATTAGATTAATTCTGAAAATTCATTATTCAAAAATCAAACTGCATAACCTCCAACTTGCTGCAGGGCAGATTTCTTGAAACTACCTGTTGTTTTTTCCACAGAACTGTCTTAAAGGTATGTTTTTATTGAACAGTTAATAATAATAATTCTTTATTCAAAAAATCATCAAAACTGGTACAATGTGCGAATATCAAAAAGACACTTAAAGGACGACACTAGGATGAAAAGATATAAGAAGGTGTTTATAACTTTTTAGAATAGATGATTAACTCGTCAATACTGTAAAAGAAGCCTTCCAATAAAATATTTCTTACCATTCTATTAAAACTATTCAACGACTTAACCTCACGCATGTCGGCTGGAAGGAGTTTAAAAAGCATACATCCAGCATAAACTGGAGACTTTTTATAGTACATGAGATAAAATGCATTGTTAATGAAATTGTCTTTGTAATTATGCGTATCCTCTTCTGAATTTGTTTTTATTTATTTATGTACTTATGGCTAGAAAATTTAAATAGATGCCACAGTAAGAATACGATAATGTTTGAATATTTACCTGCAAGATGACTTACAGTGAATTTTAAAAACTAAACGGATGAAGCTTTTTTGGAGGATAAAAACACACTGGACCTCTTTAGCCTGCCCCCACAAGGCATGACAATATGAAATAGCAGAGTATCCTAACGCATAGTAAATATTCGTCCAGACTTCTATATCTAAGGTATTTTTTAGAAAATTTATCACAAAATAACAGTTACAAACATAAAGCGAAATTTGCAGATAAAATTCTTTTCTGGTAGGCAATTTCTAACAGGGGCGTATCCCAACCTTTTGTGGGAAGTGTGAGGGGTGAAGCTATATTGATACCTGTCTTTCCAAATTGCCTAAGTTTGTCCACGAACATCGTGCTAATAACCATATCATATTTTGGTCAGACCTAGGATCATCCCATTACTCAAGAGATAGCCAAAACTGGCTTCCACAACACAACATACCTTTTTTGTTCTCGAAAACGACAATCTTCTAAACTCGCGGCAGACTCGCCCAATAGAGGTTTTTCGGGCTTTAAGGTTTATCATCAACAATTAAGACGGCGAGTTTAAGAAAAACCGAGAGAAATTGATCTGAATTCCGTCCAGGACATGAGAGAAATTCGAAAATAGTTGCGTCTGGTCGAGCAGAATGGGCCACTCCACATAATTCGATAGTATAGTTTAGTTAAGTATTGAGTTCTTATTTATAACTAGTTAGTGTTTAAACAAATTTCTACATAAATAAAAAATCCGATAAATATTTTTTGCCAAAACTTTTAGGACATACGTTAGGTCAATTTGAGTGTTACTTTAGTTTTGTTCGATTAAAGTTTCGACTGGCTCTGTTCAGTATCGATCTAAAAATTTGATATTTTGCATTTTTCAGTGTTGTTAGGTATACAATTCGGTTAACAAATCTTAGATTGGGATTCAGTGCTCAATAAAACAAGAAGTAGAACAAATCAAAATGACCTCATAACTGCCAAGGTAAAAAACATATGTTGAGATGCATGGCATTTCGCAACGAAGATGACTTTAAAAGTACATAATACTTTTCCAGTGCGTCTCAACGAAAATGGAAAGCAGTTTTATGAGCAAATTGGAAACTATATCAAAAAATGTTCTGAGGCAACCTTGATATGTTACTAGTGTATGTTTTGAAATTATTCTAATATATTCAGGGTGTTCCATAACTTACCGCAAACATGTATTTTTTGTAAATTTGGTACTCTATATTTTATTGCATATTTCTAAACACAAGAAGCTTTATATCAAACTTCTATAACATATAGTACAGTTTTGATGACATTTAGACAAATGCTAGTTCACAAACATCTCATTATCTGATCTGGAATAAATGCTAAAATATATTTTTTATACAGGGCATCTCAAAAAGCAGAATGTACTTTTCTCATAAATTTCAAATGGAACACCCTTTTTATTTACACATCACTGAATAGTTTTTTTGATATACGTTTATACCACTTAATTCGAGCAGCATTCGAGTGATTGCTACCAATTCCAAGAAAAAAATATTTCACATTTTGACTTAAAATGAGATCTCCCATGAAAACAATGAATAGTTTTTCGCATAACAAGTCTCGTCTTAACCCAAGACAGCCGTAATACATTATGAAATGATTGTAATACACTCCAAGTAGTTCTGTTGAATCGCAGATGTTTGATCTCAGGTTCGGTATGTTTTCACAATCACGCTGTTTCGGCAACTAGGGTAACACGATTCCCTATTGTGTTTAACTTAAAGGAATGTATAGACCGCTGGCGCCCTAATAATAATTGGATCGCCAGGTGCGGACCGATTAGTTGGCCAGCGAGTTCTTCCGATCTCACGCCTCTCGACTTCTTTCGCTGAGACCATGTAAAAGGAGAGGTTTAGGAAAAACCTAGAAAACCCCCAGGACATCAAACATCGTATAAGCAAGTTGTTTAAGTGGATACTTAGGCAAACCCTTTTAGACTATTTCAACAGGCGTCTGGTCTTGTGTGCTTTGCACCAGGGTAATATATTCGAACAATTTATTAACGATTAAACATCACCCAGAAAATATTAAAGTATGTAGAAATATACATTTGACATTTTTCAGAAATATTATATTTTGCGTTAGGAAGAAATGTCAGCTTTTTAATCAAATCATCTTAAAATCGATAATAATGGAATATGTAGTAAATCAATATTTATCTAAGTATCTTCAAAAATGTCGTAGCTGCGAGTCGTCAAAGCTTGGCATTTTTTTTAGATGTTTCACCAAATATCTAAACAACTGACAATCGAAACCATATGTTATATGATAAGAAAATGATTGTTTTTAAAAGCTCTAGTCAAATAAGCAGTAAAATATAGGATGTTCCATTCAAAAAATATATGTTTACCACGAAAATAGGTTTTTGGTATCTTTTCCAGTTTGCCATAAAACTGTTTTCCTTTTTCGTTGGGATATACAGGGTGTTTCACAGCCTATCCGACAAATTTTAACCACATATGCACTGTTACGGAAGAAGTTGATTTCTAAAAAAAATGTCCTACAGAAATTAAGTTATAAATCTGAGTTTTAATAATAAATTGAAAAATTAATATAAGTATTTTGCGTTCATCGTCGTGATATTAGAACACGCATTAATAATTTATTGTAGCAAATGTTGTACCAAATAACTGACGAAAACAAAACACCAGAAATTTTTTGTTTTTTCATACTACAAAATCCGGGAAAAGGAACAATTTGGACAGCTTTTGTAAGTAAGTGAACTGTTGTTAAACCGTATTATTATCTCGATTTCTCGACTTTTATTACATTATTTTTTTGAGAAATCAATTTCATTCGTAACAGTGCATATGTGGTTAAAATTTGTCGTATAAGTTGTGAAACACCCTGTGTAGTATACTGGCTACATAATTTTGATAAAAAAATCATATACTTAATTCGTTGATATAGCATAAAAGAAGTACACTTACCTCCACAGTATAGGAAAAATAATGCAACAACCAAAACACCCCTCATCTTAGTGACAATTAAGAGTCTGCTGTACTATCTACCTTTTTTCTTGATTATATACTTTTTTTATCAATATCTTATCAAAGTACTTCATATATTAAGTATCATGTTTCCTCTTGTTCGTTACGTCAGCCTTTTCTAGGTATCAAGACCACTCCACTCTCAGGAAAATTTATTTAGTCAAGTACCCAATTGGATAATCAGATACTTATCTGTGATCACGTATACTTTGTATGGTTCAGCTTAAAATACTTTGCCCACTTCTATATTTATTCTGAAAAAAGCAAAGCTGGAATACGAACTTAAAAGCAGCATCTACTATAAAATATACTGTTCATAAAAGTCGGTAGCACCTTTTCGTAGACTTCCTAATTTTAAATATAATATATTCTCAAAGAATCTAGAAAAATAAACAGAAGCCTAACAGGCCTGTCTGGCAGATCTAATTTCTAATATTTACACACATGTCTAGTATGGACTATTTTTTTGTTAATTTTAGGGATCAATATATTACTTTATCTACTTATTGTATTTTTTGTTTTTTCCTATTATTTCTACAAGACACTCTTTTCATCTTCTTCATCATTCTAAAATATATTCAATGTTACTCTTCAAGTTGAGATCTGGGACTGAGGCTCCGGTATTCAACATGTCAAGACAGAAACCTCTTGGGGTATCCGGGATCCTGCGGTGAGATATGTTACCGTACCGCGGCTCCACTCGTTGCTCTATCTATCTATGTAAATTTTCTGATCAGAATGCGCAGCCGGAAGCGAAATACTTTATAATGCTCTTAACTGCCTGCTCCTGGTATGCGCTAGCATTTGGTGGGTACAGAGATGAATACAGGAAGATCGTACTGAAAAACTTTTTCATGACCTTCATGACCCACTAATTACCAACTTTTACTCTACGACTTGCAGGGCGAGTTTGAAACGAGCGACCGTGACCGGGAGTACCGTAATACAGCGATGATATTTGTTTGAATGTAATGCTCAAATCCAATATTCTATGGAATAAAGTAAAAGATGTTATTTTTGTTTTACGACTTAACACAGATGCCTTTACTTCCCGCGCCTATTGACAGGAATTATTGGAATCATAAAAAAATCTGCTTTAGGTTGCTGTTATGCCATGCACAAAGAACCTTGAATATTCTCGGAAATCGATGGAGTGACAGCAGAGTGGTCAACAAACGAAGAAAAAATTGGTTAAACCTCGCTTTCGGATGTTTCAGACATTCCTCCAAGAAAATTTTAGGGCTGTAAAACTTACAGGTGGCGGGGGTTACGGGCGGCGAGCTAGTATTGAATAACGACAAAACTAAAAATCGTTTAAACTATTTCTGAATATTTTAGAACTTCCTAATCGTTTTCCGAATAATTTTTGGGGGAAGGGGGGCTGAGGGCAGTATTAAGTCTGCGAGAATACTCGAATTACTTAAACACTACTGAGTCGGTCGCCCTTGCAATCATGTGATGTTATTTTTGGATAAGGAAATCAAGCTTTACTTGAATCACCATTTGTGCCTGGTATCATCTATCTATGAGAATATCCTTAACCCAGATATCCCTGAAACTCTTAATGTTTGTTTTTTGTTGTATACTTTTGTAAACCTATTAATTGGGTTAATATAAACATATTTTCCTAGTAAAATGTTTTAGTTCCGCTTTTAGGTTACTAAAACTCAATATTCTTATGAACTTATAAAACTTTATTTAGAAACGAAAAAAAAGTTTTAAACCAATAATAATAGATTAGTTTTTAGTATGGTAACTTAAAAAACACATTTTTGGATGAAGTGCAACATCACACTTCTGGCATCTGAATGCTGCTTGTTTGTGGCAAAATGCGCAGCGGGTTTGCTTGTCCTGATAATTCATAAGATGATCCATCCGATCACATCTGGACTCATAATGCAGGTATTTGCCTGGTTTAGATGGCCCCCGTTTTGTTTCTTTCTTATAAGTTTCTAATAATCCCGCAGCAATACACCTCCTAAACTGCAAATGGTCCATTTTTCCGCCAGAATATTTATGAAGTTGCCATGCGTTTTGTTCTGCCATATCCAGAGTATGTGAAAACAAGCAAAAATACCACTTCTTTCCCCTGATTCCTACGCGGTAAAGGCTTATATTTTGGTCAGCCCTATCAACACCGCCCATGTTTTCGTTGTATTGTTTGATCAAACATGGCTGCTCAACATGTATCATTTTCTTTTCTTTCTGAGAGAAGCGTTTGACTTGCTGTGTCAGAAAAGGAGATGTTACATTTGAGGCGATTGTAACAACACTATTGTCATTCCATTTACACACAATATTATTTTGGTTCCCCTCCAAAAGATAATCAAAACTACCACGGGATTTTTTCTTGAACATACTGGATTTTCAAGAGGGCAATCTGATAGTCTGTTTTCTCGCAGAGTTCCTGTGCATTTGAGCCACCTGGAGGTCAGCTCAGCCAACAGAGGTAATGACGTAAAAAAATTGTCACAAAAGATATGGAAAGGAGCTTTTTCACATTGAGACTGAATAATATCAGCAAACTGAAGTACAACACTAGCCCCTAAGCCAAGAGGACGATATTTTTCAGAAATAATAGTTGTGGACCCTTGATACGGCTCAAACCATTCAACGTACCCCTTTTTAGTTGTTCCCACCCATACCTTATAACCCCAACGAATGGGCTTTCCTCGGATGAACTGTTTTGATCCATGACCGCCGTAATAGGGTACCATCGACTCGTCCACGCTATGACACTCTTCAAGGGGTGCAAATGACTGATATTTCTCATTCAGAGTAGAAAACAAGGGCCTCAGTTTCGAAAACTTATCGGTATTTTCAAGATTGTTGTTATCATTCAGGTGCAAATTCTGCATTATAAAGCTAAAGCGATCTCGAGAAAGCGCTGAATAGACTAATTTATTTCCTGCGTCACTGTTATTTTCCCAATACATTGACCGTCGAGGAAATGAGTTGTATCCAGAGAGCAGTAATACACCAATTAAACATTTTATTTCACTGGAATGTATATCACCTCGGCGATTATGCTGAATAGCATATATATTGGAATATTTCACAACCAAGTCAATAATTTCGTCATCTATAAACTGAAAAAATAGTTCTAAAGGAGATAAAGAATTTTTTGGACCACTTGCGTTTACCCATTCTGAAAAATCTTGGTTGATGTCACCTTTTTTCCAAGAGTAATTTGGTTTTGATAATTTTGGTCATTTTTTCGTAAGAAAGGTAGACAAAGGTAGGTCATCGTCGCTATCAAAATCACTCTCAACTGTAGTTTGGTTTGATCCCATGTTTTCAAATACAACCTCAACTTCAGTCATCAGCTGACTTCCAGGGAGGTTGTTTATATCCACTTCATTTTCGTCGCCGGAATCCTCATCAGTGTTATATTCATTTGCGTTAAATGGCGGTAGAACGGCAATAGTATCAGGAATCAACTCATCGTCATCAATGTTTTCGATTTCTGCCATGACTTCATGAAGTTTCAAGAGCCGCTTCCAATAGTTCCAATAACTGCAAATATAAGAAAAAAAAATCGAATAATACCGGATTTTCCTACTGTCCGTTAAAACGGACATCGGTATTTGAGGTTATATTTTTGCCGGTGAGATGCAAATTTTTAACTTATTTGTTTACAATTATAAAGATTGATGTTTTCTAAAATTACTTATTCACAAGATGGAAAAATAATATGAATAGTTTATCAGTATACTCACCTATAATTATCCATTGTTCACAACAAACTAAGCACCTGTTATTCCAAACACTTTCTCGCATACAGAACTCTCCCTTTAAGAGGTTAGAACAATAAATTTCGCTTAAACACGTGTTTCTAACAGCGAATAACCCAACGCCATCTAACGCGGAGTGACAGAGTTTCAAATTTGAAGCGAAATATTAGGTGATTGTTATAACGGACGGTAGGGGTATCTGGGTTTTAATACTGGAATAAAATCGTATCTTAACGATTTTTTCTAATAGCTCGGAGTTAACTATATAGACACGCCAACCAAAAGCCGTATGATACACCACTTCACACCAGTTCACTTTCAAAATCGCATTAAGTCTAAGAGGTCCCCAAAACGGGTATATTAAATTATTACATCACTCAATAAAGTAGAAGTTAATTATGAACACAGTGGTTCACAAACTATAAATATAACCATTTTTCTACTCAACAACATAATCAGCTTCATCATTTATTCATGCACCATTCGAACGAATCGTTTTTCACTAAAAAATGTTTAAACTTTTTTGACGAAGATAAAAGAAAGAAAAAATGTCGACTCGTGCTTTGTTATTCTTTGGCATTCTGAACTAATCCATTTACTCGAAAATGCGCCATACAACCCTGATCTAATACCACCAGATTTCTAACTTTTCCCAAATATTAAGAAATTTTTCAGTGGAAGGCGATTCGAAAATGATGAATGTTGGAATGAACTGATAGTTACGGGTTGAAAAGCTGATGTCAGGACTCAACGAATTTTTTAATGTTAATGACAATTACTTTGTTATAAGTGGGAACATTTTCCTAATTTTTTGATAAAATTTATGTTTATCAATAGAATTCTCTTCATCTCATTGTAAAAACGTTCTTGCTTGAAAAATGAGGTACTTTTAAAATTAAAGCTGACGATTGTCACTATTTCTTCCGTATCTTTAGTATCGTAGATCTCAAAATTTCGGTTCTGGTATTAGTGGTTTTATTTTTTCAACATATACGTTCTTTTTGTTAGCCCCTGTACTTGGTAATCAGCCAACAAATAGCTAAGTGTACTCTTGTAACTATAATTTCAAGTTTCCGATAGACTATGCTATCATCTTCAGGAGTTAGTTGATGAGGTTGGTGCTAAATGTTCTCAGAAAAGCGTGGATGGGAACACTTACTAAAACAAGTAAAAAACTGGATACATGAAGGTTGTTATCGAGTTCTGAAACTCACAGCCATGAGTTGCAAAATTTACAAACGGTTTTAAAATGGGGATAAATTAATTTAGTTATTAAAATTTTTACATCTTGGAATAAATCTCCACGAGTATGCGCGACTAACTTCATGAATATCCTTATGTCAGGCTGAAATCTTGACCAATGCTTTAAATTCTCGTACATGTAATTCATATGTATTTCTTCTTACTAGTCCCTGTCCAATTGAATATTGTGATATTTGCTTTAATGTATTCAAACAGCAACGTTATTAAGGTAATCGATCATTATAACTGATGTGTACCTTTTAACCAAATTGTTATCGATTTTCCATTATATATGGTAACTTACTTCAATTGATAAATTACCAACAATATGTAAGATGCAAACCCTGAACTCAGAAAATGACATTATGTTAGATTGAGGAAAAGGTTGGCAAATGCTGGGCGCAGAATATATTGCTTCAGTGCCCATACGTATCACTTTAATTTCAGACGAAAAAGCAATTCCTTCATTCATTCAAGACCCTGCTTTCTACGCAGTGCTGTCATCAATATGCAAAGGTTATGTTTAGATGCAAATTGGTTTTGCTTAGAAGAGTTAACAGCTCACATCCACAAAGAAGGGTAGTCGAGTAGATTGAACAATACGTTTTACAGATTGATACCTAACCAGTGTTTTGCGCATTGTATATTTCGTGACCATATCGTAGAATTCCGCTGACACAAACTCGAATTGGAAAAATCGATTGATGTTTTCTTATCTAACATGGAAAGATCTTTTAAAGCAACTTGGTGTTGGGTGGATGATTTTTTTTCAAACAAAAAACGTTGCAGTACTAGAATGATGGGCCAAGGTTTATACAATATCATTATATTGGAATAACTGCTATAATTGTATGTTAAATTTATATTGCTTAACATTTATGATTTTGTGGTAGGGATACAATATTGCTGCGTTTGAATTTTCATCCGTGATTGTGGCATTCGGCCGTGACTTTGGTATTTCGACTGTTTGACGATCTGATTTGATACGCCTGCTACGTATCTTGACGAGTCTATCTTCTTCCTGTGCATTTTCTGTAATACTGTAGGAAACACCCAGTATCAGTTTCACGGAAAATCATCAGTATTTACACTAATTAAAATCTTATTTATGAAATTTGATATCAAACCCTATGCATAACTCGAACGTAACAATACCACAAAGAGGGATGGAAGCCAGATAAGATGAAAATTAAACGCAATTTAAAGTCGAGCAAGAAGAGTGGGTCATCTTTATACTGGAACCTTTTGTCTCTTGAAACTGCCCCAACTCTGAAACGGGTAGTTCAATAATTGAAAACATTTTTCTGTGTGCTTACTATTTATCGAATTATGCCAGGTATAAGGTGGGATGTAATCTGAAGTACAATTCAGGTCACTTAGAACCAAGAGAGATGTAGAACGCACTGTATAAACTTGACATGTGAAAAGTGATTTACTTGCGTACTACTCGAAAATAGCATTTTATACAATGGTTTCAAAACAGGTCTCCTACCTTCTTATTATTCAAGCGTTCACAAAAATTGAAAATTGAGACGATACAATCTTTTGGGGTAAAAATTGCAGTTGGCGATCTTTGGACAACTAGACGAAATATTTTCAACGTCTAAATATGCCATGCGCAGATCTTGCAACTTTTTCTTGATTGCTATTGTGGAATATTTTGCGATTATTGCAAGTTCACTCTAATCCAAGGTGAGCATAGTTTTACTTAACGGCTGTTTTGATTCCTGTCGATTTTTAGTGCATAATCTTGCCCTTATAAGATGCTTCCATTAATGCTTTACCTGTCATAACAGGTGAGGAAAAATAAAGATTGTGTTCGAGAAAAAGATTATTAGACAAGCTAAAATTGTATGAGAAGTAGGCATAATACACATCTAAATGAATGAATGCTTTTTCAGGTTGCAGATGTCCAGATGCTTAATTATTCGGCGTGAAGGTGAGACTCAAAACTTTGCCTTGGTTAATATTGCCCCATTATTATGTTCCATTTGTAATGGGAAAAATAAAATCTCTTAAAAATGTGACTTCGAAATACTTATTGTTACTTTTTTACATTCTTATGTTGAAAACAAAAAATTGCTTCCAGGGACCTCCCTTGAACGTCTAGCGACCTAAGGAGAACATCTTCCAGGTCGCACGGGGTCTGTCCGGGAACTTCTTTGGAATGTACTTGTGCTTTTAGGCAGTGAGATGAAAATCTACATTCACCCTATATTTTGGCTAAGATCAATAGGGCTGTAGATTTCTTCGATAGATACCTGTCAGGCAGATTTTAGTACTCAAGATTTAATGGGCACGTATCTCAGTTTCGTAGTATAACCAGAAGTGTGTCACAGGGAAGTATTTTAGGACCGTTGTTGTTTTCACTGTACACATCAATATGCTGATGATACACAATTGTATTAATCTTTCAAACCTGATGATGCTTATGTTTCCTGCATGCCAATCAGCTCTGATCTTCAGTATTTATCTAGATATGTAAGAACCCACAGCCTTGTATTGTATTTTTTCTTTTTTGTATACTCGAACTATCACGAAGGTCTAAGCACCCATTGGGTACCGTGGGGCTATAGGGGGATACAGGGGAAAGGGGGAACGCGTGTGCATGCAACATGCACACATTCTGGCTCCGCCTACGAGATCCGCCGGGTGGTACCTCTGCGTTCGACAGTCAGAGACCGTCTACCACCTACGAACAATTACAACATCCATAACCAAGAGACAAATTTCTTCTGGGACGGGATTCGAACCAGCACAGCGCACAGTGACTGATCAGGAGACCGAAGAGTCTACTATCCCAACTAGCAAAGTAGTGGTATAAGCTTTTGGTAAAAAAACCGTTCAGCCATAAAAGCTCTCTATTGTTGTTGCCTGAACACCAAAATGCTGGCTTGATGTTGTGTGGAATGCAAATTTGCTTTCTGCAACATATTTATAGGACAAATTTTTAACTGTTGCATAAACGTTTATACAACTATTTTATACGGCATATTTGCACGTTAGTCAAAATGGTTGTGTTGTAGCATCCATGGTAACGTTTATAAAACAAACCCGAGCCTTGTAGTTTTGCTGTGCAATTTACTACTTTAGCCAACAAATTGCTCCCAACGGAAGCACTTATACAACTGTTGTTTAGTAACTGTTAAAGGCTGTACATATGCTAAATATGTTGGTATACAACTTCACCATAACCTCACTTTCTGCTGTCATATTTTTGTTAAAATGCCATAACCAATCTTTTAAGACAAACAACGCATGCATATTGGTTCAAAAGATTTTATCAACTGTTCAAGCAGAAGATAAAGATCTGGTACAAATTATGTAAGTACAGATATAAAGTGATAAACATTAGAGTAATTGTGTGTAAATATAGGATTTGTGGAAGATTTAAAGCAGATAAGTTCAGTTTTGCATCTTAAAAATCTAGACATACTTTTGATCATTATCAAAATATGAATCAAATATGAAGCCCGTAGAAATTGCGTAACTACTTTGCACGATAACCACAATAAAATTTGCTGCGCAAGTAATTCAATAGCTCTATATCACAGTGTAGAAGTTTATCATATACCTGTGTATGAAATTCACAATGGCCGATATGTAAGTAAACAAGATGACTATATATGACTGTAATGTGTTAGTTATATATTCTTCACTTCGTCTATACAATACATAAGAAATAGTTTGGTTGCAATAAAGTAGAATCACGTAACAGAATAGTTGTATAGTTGACAAAAACTGAATCTTGCAATGAGGCAAATGTCTCCTATAGCGGCTGCAAGAGGCTTACACTTTTGTTGTATAACTATTACCTGCA